TCTTTCAAACTTATGATCTAGTCATTTCCAGTAGTTGCTACTTTTTGAGAACAGATTATTACACAACTGTTGTCCTGGAATAGTCTTTAAAATTATATACCTGCTTGATCAAATTAACAAACAGAAGGAGAAAAAGATTCTCTATACCCTTTGGGCAGCTACTACACTTAAATTACAAAATGAGGACAATCACTCATGTCCTGCAATTCAATATATGAACAGTCTGAGTGGTGGTGATAGAAATAGCAAGGGGTGGTGACATAAATCTACCAGTGGTATAGATATACTACTGGTAGGAAAGGATACAAAGAAGGCAACACAGCAGATGCAAGAGCTGGGCATGAAGAGGCAGCACAGATGCATCTGAACATCTGCTTAGGTTGCTCAGATGCCCAAGGGATAGTGTTGCTTGTCACCCTGCCAATTCCATTACTGAGGGTGTGAACAACCATGTTGAGTCCATTCCATGTCTCCAGAATGAACAGTGGGCAGAATGGGGCAATAACAACCTCAGCAGCTGCTGAATTGCTTTTCTGTGCCTTTCCTGTTCTTTTCTGCTCTCCAATTGCTAATTATATATAGGGGGGGACCTGCTACTTAATCAGTGTGCTCATAATTAGCATGCGTTTGCACAGTTCCCATATTCCAATCACCCTTAAAGCAGACTGAACAAGGAAACCTCCTAGTGAACTCTCTGCTGTGCAAAGATATCGACAAAGGGCCATGCCATGGGATCATTCAGAAAGTTTAAGCAAAAGGTGACCTTTCATATTTCTTTCTTTCTGTGACTCCATTTGCTTTTTGGAGCTAGAGGAACTAACATTGTTCCAAGTGTGGAAAAGTAGGAGTTGCCTATATTAAGTGGTTCTCATTCATTTTAAAAGGAAGACTGGCCCACCCACAGATTATGGTGTTGTCTTGAGAATCTACCTATCATTCCCAACATCTTCATCTGACATTGCTACTGTTTGGCCACACAGTCTCCTGAGGTTTCAGCTGATTAAAGAATAATTTCCCTGGGGTGGTTTTCATTTATTCCACAAAGGAAGCACCCAGGGGCATGGTTTGAACCCAACATTCTCACTACCCTCTAGCTGTGCTTAAAATTGAGGTCATGGTTCCGAAATGCTCATGCATTGTTTCAGCTGTAGTTCCAGTGAAAATTAAACTAACCTTTCAGCATTCTGTCCTACTTTCTATGAATTTTTAGTTTAATCACATGGTAGAGGTTCTTATTTGTTTCCCAGAACAACTTTATTATTAAAAGTGACTTATTATAGGTTGATGTATGCTTTTAGGGATATTGCATAGTTAATCACCTGCCCAGTGTCCTCCAGACAGGGAACAATGTCATCATGTTTTCCACATTAATAAGTGACTTCCCATAATATCAGGACACTTGCAGTTTATACTTTATTTGGGTGCAAATCCCCATTGATTGCAACAGCAATTAATTCGAAGTAAGTCTGCCTCTGATTGCAGCCCTATTTTTGCAGATGATTTATGAGCCCGTAAAAAGTATTTTCCTTGCAGCTTCCTCAGCACAAGTAATCTGTGGCTCAATTTTGATATTGCACAGAATGTGTCTGTTATACAGATGCCTGGCACTTAAATCAGAGAATTGCTTTTATCTCATCCTTTGAAGCACTAAGAAAAAGACAGTAATTTAAGTAAGTAAGAACAACACCTGGCAACACAAATCTTTTTCTGAAGTTTTTAAAAACAGCTTCCCATAGAACATGCTCTGAAAAACCTCTGAAATCCAAACAGTACGTGGCTGACCAGGTTCAGAATATCGTACATTTTGTTCATGCTTTTCACTTTGGAGGTGTGGTATAACCCTATTCAGATATTCTCTTTCTGAAAATAGAATGCCTGGACAGGGTTTATGTATGTAAGAGCAAAGTCAAAATTTTGAAGTTGGGGTGTTTTTTTCTTTTAGCTTTTGAGTTAAGGTGAAAATTCTATTGCCTAGAAAGTTCAAAGCTAAAGAGTTGGATGTCTTGAGTACATCATATGTCAAAACCAGAAATAAAAACAGTAGTGCTGATTTTTTTTTCTCATTAAAAAAAATTAAAGGGAAATGGGTGGTGGGCAGAAGGGTGCAAAGTGCCCCCTTTAAAAACTTTTCTGTTGTTTTTAAGGACTCCTCACAGCCACTTTGTTTCCCCCCCACTGTTGGTTCTCCAGTGCCATTTTCATATCCCTTTCTGTGCAATTGCAACCAACCAGAGATCACACAGTGAGAAAAATGCCAGGTGTGTTTGCACCACACAGAAAGAGACACTGCATAGAAAGCTGCATAGTATGCCTTTCATGCCATGGGACTTGCAGTGTGCTCAGCAGATGCTTAGGGGCATTGCAGCACTAGAGCCGCCGTCACCATCTCCTTCTCCCTCAGTCCTCCTGCCAGCATAGTAAGGGACACTGCTGGAGCCCCAAGCAACAAAACCCCCAGAGCTGTGACAACAGGCGGGAGCATCTTCCTGTTCTGGCAATTTCTCACCAGCTGGAATGGGGTGGTGCTCCTGTTTGTCATTGCCACACGCTCTTAGTCAACAAGCAGGGTGCTTCCCCCACATGTTCTGCTCAGGCCAGCACTGCTGGTATCTCCCATGCCCTCCCCTCTCAAGCCCCAGGGCTTAAGGGAGCTGGCGTCGGTGCTGTGGCCACCCCTGCTGGGTTTGGGTGCTGGGTGCTGCCCTGAAGGATGCTGATCAGAGTGCACCCAGCGTCCCCCTGCCCATAGTTGCAGGGTAGCCCCCGTGGCGACCCCACACTCTGTCTGGCTGCTCTAGAAGAAGCTGGTCAGGGTGTGATGTGTGTCAGTGCAGCCATCAGCCTTTTTGGCCAGTGACCATGCCAGCACTGGGAGTGCTGACAGCCAGGCCAATGCCCCTTGTGCACTTTGGGGTGGCTCTCAGAGGCATTCATCCAAAGTTGCCTGGCTAAAATGGCAAACCATTCTGACCGTCCTGCCAACTGATTCTGGGGCTTCACCTGGACTTTCTGTGTCATCCAGGTTCAGACAACAGGCCATGCCTTGCTGGGGTGGCTTCATAGCCACAAAGAACTCCCATAGGAAGTGCATCAGGTTTGGATGGAAGACTAAGCCGTCATGGCTTTGGAGCCACAGTGGCTTGGGGGGCGGTGCAAACACAGTTAGTGTCACACTATATAGCCTGTTCGGTTTGGCTCCAGCAGTAGATTATTGTCCAATGTTTGCACACATACACATAAATCAATGGCTACTCTCAACCAATCTCTCCTCCATAAACTGGAGTTAGTTTAATCTGCTCATGGATGATTCAGGAGGATACAAATTCAGCGAGAGGTGTGAGCAGGACAGATGGCATTTCATCAAGGTTAGGATGCCTAAAACGAGGGAGGTCACTGGACACAGACCACAATGCTTTTCTCTGAGGCTTTCCTACTTCTCTAGCCATACTGATTTTTTAAAAACCTGTTCAGAATATTAATTCTGTTTTTAATTTTGTATAGCGAAATTTTACTCTGTTTGCCTTATGGTTCACATTTTTACAAATTGTTGTGAACTGCCCAGATAAGCTTTAGCTATTTGGTGGTGTAGAAATTGAATGAATGAACCTGTTGGAAGAAGGACATCTTCTCTGCTGAGCCCTTTTATGCTTCCTGGGTCTCACTATATTTCGTAGGCTAGACCCCTTTGCTGAAATATGGTGCTTTAAAGAGGCAGTTTTTAGCTAGGAACCTAGTGCTCTGTCACCCCTGCATTCATGCCAGGTATGCTGCCTATGTTGATGCACTGGATTAATGGAGCTCAAGGGCACTGCAGCTGGGTATGCTGACCTTGTGCTTGACTCAGGGCTGAAGGCCGTGATCCAGACTCAAGTGTCTCCTGGCAACAGGGTGTCTGGTTCAGTGGTGATGGCCAGGCACAGTGTTTTATCCTTTAACACCACTGGTCCTCCATCTCTGTATGTAAGTTCAGGTCATTGCTGGACTTCAGGGTCATTCCATAATGCAGATTTCTTCTTTCCTGGGATTCCGTTAGCTTGTTGAGTCTGTGTCCACTTTTCTTGGTGACACACATAATCTTTGTGTGCTTATTTTGTTATATCAAGAGTAGCATGTACAAAACAGCTTTCCTTTTATCCTGTTTCAATACAAGCTAAGAAACATCCAGATTTACTAATTTGCCATTCTATCCCAGGATCAGAATGGAAGAGAAGAAACTCCAAAAACACAACAGGCAGTCAATGTACGTTTAAGGGTAGGAGAAAATTGCTGAAAGTCGTGGCAAAAAGAATCAGGATGGCATCTGAAAATCAGATGTACCACACTGAGATCCATTCTAATTTGAGAACATTTAACAATGATACTCCCTGTGGATTTTCCCATTTTTTTTTACAGCCTTCAAGGTTCAAATCATGCAATCCACAAAACAAGGAGATAAATCCACAGATCCTAAGAATATGTGCCAGACATAGCAAAGTTTCATTATATATTGTATCTTTTTCTCCATCTGGTCTGGTACTATGTCTGGCAGTGGCTCTCTGGGGAGTCTAGCAGAGGTCCTTCACCTTTACTAAATGTGACTCCACTTGCTACTTATCTACTGTGGAAATAAGCTGTGGCTCAGTGGTACAGCATGTGTTTTCAATGCAGAAGGTCCCCAGTTCAATCCACAGCTTCTACAGGAAGGGCTGGAAAATTTCTGGAGATCCCCAGTCAGTGTCAGCAAGACTAGATGTCCCCATGGCTTGACTCAGTAAAGGTAGCTTTCTGTGTTGTCTCATCTGCCTATGAGCTGTCATGATACCCAGAAGTGAACCTGGAATATTCTGTATTCAAAGTTCCTTAACCTTCCACAGTAAGGAGATTTTGTGGAGATTTCTCTATGCACTGGTTCAGCTGATTCAGCTGTCAGAATAAATATAAAATTACACTGTGTGTAATTAAGAAGCTATCTTTTTCTTTTCCAATAAAGGTTGTCTCCTCACATGTTTTCCTCTCTGCAGAGAATGATGAGGTCGTCAATTTTCCATATGTTTATCCTGAGCATGGTGGCAGTGGATGTAATTGTTGCCGCTAGCAATTATTACAAGGGGGAGACTTTTAAGAGCCAGTACGATGAATTCTACCTGGCAGAGGTGAGTGTACTAAAACTTGTCAGAGACTTTTTCAATAAGAAATGCAAGGGGACCCATGCAAATGTCAAGCTGTTTTAAAAGTCTGTCTTTTTAAAGGGTTATTATCCTTAAGCACAGGAAAAATTCTGTACTGATTTGTTCAGGTTTTATGATAACAGCTGACAAGTCTGCTATATGTTTCTAAAAGACCATTTCCTCAGAAAAAGGAATAATGAGCTGAGGCAAAGGGGTAGCATCTGCAGGCCTAATCTCACAAAGCTTTTCTACAACAGCGGTGTAGTAAGATGTGTATGGTGGCGGGCAGGGGACAGGATGGAATCTATCAGTCCTTTTTCTCAAAATTAGTAGGAAAGAGCCCATTCTTTGCCTCATGCCTAACCTAAGTTCAAGAAATCACCACTGTGTAGGAAAAAATTACTTCACTGGACACTTGGGTTATTTCTGAATTGACTTCAACCTAAGGATCACTTATTCTGTTCTAGCACCACTAAAGTCAACAACTCTACATAATAGATGTTCATGGATTTGTAAATCAATGTATTTTTTTGTATTTTTATATTTAATGGTAATTTATTATGTACTATTGTATTTCAATGTATTTTATCATGTTGTAAGCCGCCCTGAGGTTTCGGCAAGGGGCGGCATAGAAATGTTATAATAATAATAATAATAATAATAATAATAATAATAATAATGATATGCAGGTCAGGCTGGAATCTGTCTCCTTTGCACTCCACAGGCTCCTTTCCCAGGCTTGGGCTTGGCCAGGAAAAGAGCTGAACTGAGAATAACTCTGTCTCAGGAATGCTAGTGGCTTCTTTGTGCAAAGTACTCACAGTACACACTTCTTTGCACCAAGTACACAAAGCCCACAAGTCCTGTGTGTGGAAGCAGAACTCACCTGGCACACAGGCGATGCATATACAAGCCAGCCTCATGGACTCCCCTGGACTCACTTCCTGCCAGATGCCCACAGGAACACTCGGCACAAGGCAGTCTTAGGACAGGGAGCAAGCAGACCAGAGTCTGGGGAACCGAACTGAGGAAATCTAATGAATTCTCACCTGCAAGATGGATTCCTCACACATTCCTAGGTCTCATAGCTTAAATTTAGCAGGCTGAACATCAGGCCCATGGGCTGAAGTTTGCTCTCCCAGGGTTTCAGTCTAGCCTTCAGGGATTTCTCCAGTAGTTGTACCTACTGGCTTCCACTGTGTGCCAGTCATTAGTTTGTTTCAAGACTTTTTATTTTTCCACTTTCTAAAAGGCTAATATGCATCTCCTAAAGTTGCTTAAGTGGCAGACTCAGACCAATCTGATGTCTTGTTGCTTTCCAGCCACCTGGAACTTTCCTCACTGTCTATAAAGTGCTAAAGAGGCCTGCATTTGATGGAGGTTGACAGTCCCTCTCTTAACACCCAGATAGGTTTGGAAAGTAGGAAAGGAAAAGGAATCATTTTTTCCTATATTCCCTCTTAAATATGCTAGAGAGAGGAATTTTTCTACCTCTTGGTGCAAGTCAGCCTAACCCAAATGCCTAATTCTGGCTCAAAACTGTTTTCCTCCCTACCTCTGTCTCCTGCCCTTGCTTCTTTCTCCCCCATAGCTCCTGGAAGGCACTGAGCACATGTTCTATTCAGATTTATTTTTCAGGTGTGTGTGTTAATTGCTTCTTTTTGTTAATTTGCAAACTAGTACACTTTGTTCTCTTAGTGGAAATATGGGGTGCAGAACACACAGGATGCCACTTTAATTTGGATGCCCCCCTTCTGATTGGGTGGGACTCAACTGAGTATCAGCTGGTACATCAAACACCACACTGCTCATAAAATGTGAACAATTTGAAAGACATAGGTCAGTGGTCTCCCAGGATGGAAGAACATTTTTTCCTGAATGGCATCCCATGCCTTCTGCTTTCCACAATTTTCCCCAGCCTCCACCCCTGCATCATATCTGTGGCATAGCTGTTTTGGTGCAAGAAGAGCTGACAACATGTTGCAGCCCTTTATGTTGCCAGTTGCCACTCTTTGCAATGCTGTCATCCCCTTTTGTTACACTGCAGGACTAATGAGAGTGACAAAAATGCACACTGTTTGGACTGACAATCTGTGCTTTTAAATTGTCAGTCATCATTGCTGGGGCAGGGAGGGGAGTTAGGTGTTTTTAAATTGAACCAAATGTTATGCAAACCATTTGATACATTAAAAACGTTAGTGGTTTTGAGCACTTTGACAAGCATCTAAAATGCAAATGAGCCAGCCTACACAATTTTGGAATAAATTAAAATATATTTATATTTAACTCCCTAATTGTTAATCTTCTCATAATGAAGCAGTGAAAAGTGTCAATGTTCTAGAAGATGCTTTAACCATGGTAGGTAACTTTGGAATGGGGCATGGAGGTGTTTATGAGAAAAAAAGATAGCTACATTTATTTCAGTTGAAGTTTGATTTTCTCTGTTTGGATGACAGATATTGACCAAAAAATCATGCAGCAATCATGTTTCATCTTAAAGTTTTCAACAGGGGGTGAATTTAGGTTTGGAGGTCCCTTGGACAAAACACCTTCAATAGGCCCGTCTCTTAGTGAGTCCACTTTCTCACTGGCACTGCTGCAGCTCCTCACCGTCACTGTGGCTTGCTTGCCTGCCTGGTGGAGCACCAGTAACCAAGCAGACATCTAGGAATCATTTGTACAACTACCATTGTCTGACCCAGAGTGAGAGGCAGCTGAACATGGTGGAGAGGACCAGACACTCCAGGGAACTCTTAGCAATGGGCTGCTGCTGGGGCGTGGCCCTATGAAGTTCCCAGCCAAGCCTTCCATGAGCACTAGCCCTGTTTTGCCCACACTATTCTTACCTTTAAATACCCAGCTAGAGTTGGGACGAGCATTCCCTGTTGCTGTTTTTTATTTGTTTCATTTCTACATTGAACAATAGCCAGCACTATCTGGGTGATTTACAATAGTAGGTGGCCTTAGTTGGATAGAGATAGAAACATAGAAACAGAGTGAGTCAGAAGGGGGCCTCCCAGGCCATCTAGTCTGACCCCTGGCTCCAGCTGGCTCCACTCACAACATGCCTTCCATGTGCATGTCTAGCCTATCCTTGAACATGTTCCAACTGACCCAGCAGTCCCTCTTCTGGCTCCTTGCAGAGTCTAGCATAGCTTTTCCTCTATTTTGCCATCATAGTCCATTGGCTGTTAGAGCTGAATGCCCCTTCTGGCAGGGAGCAAATGGAGCACATTTCCTGCAGCTCCTCCTTCCCTGGCTGATGGATGGGACCAGGCTGGCCCTCTTGTTGTGATGCACTTTCTGGAAGGCAAGCGCAGGGTGCAGATCCCAATGGCCTTGGGTCTATTCAGAGAGGATGAATAGAAGACTGTGCATCCCTTCTGCTTTGTATTTCAGGGACATGTTCATGATGAGCACAGAAACCTAACACAGTTGTGGCAAAAGGGTAATGGAAAGTAGTTCTAGAATATCTTATTGTAGGCCCTGTTTTTCCTTTTTATGTTTCCCAGGTAGCATTCACGGTTCTGTTTGATTTGGAAGCTCTCCTAAAGATCTGGTGCCTGGGCTTTACTGGATACATCAGTTCATCACTTCACAAGTTTGAGCTGCTGCTGGTTATTGGGACTACGCTTCATATCTATCCTGACCTCTACCACTCACAATTTACATATTTTCAGGTACAAATTTCTTCTTACATACACAGGAGGAAAATGCATTTTGGCATCACCCTCAAATGGAGCTGCTAAGGATGCAGCACTGTGAGAAGTAAGTCTCTCAGCATCCCTCAAACTACTCTCTCTGATTCCCAGGAACTGACACTGTGAGGCACCATCTCTGATGCAGAAGGAACATACAGCCATTCTGACTGCTAGCCATTAATAGCCCTCTTCTCCTTGAGATACAGGATAAGTGTTAGGATTGGGGCCAAGGAGATAGAGACTTGCGCTCTAGTCTCCAGATCCTGATGGGGAAGTCAGTCCCCTTCTGGCTTCTGTTCTGACTGCAGTGTTGTAACACGACAATCAAGAAGGCAGCTGTGATGGGATAGTGGTGGGATAGATCATCTTTAAATAGCAAGGCCTCTCTCACGACAAACTTCTAGTTTACAAGTTTTGAACAGTAAATTCTTGGTACCAAATCTCAAACCAATTCTTTTGTTTCTTTATTCGCTATCACAAGAAATGGCAATGTTTGGGTTAGGCAGACATTTTGCATGAGGGGCAAGTTCAGAAAAATAGAATTCTTGGAGAGACTAAAAGGTGGTTTGCCACCACAGCCAATGCTACAAATTAATTTCATTTTTAAAAATTAAAAACTCAGTCATGCTCATAAATTATGGATAAACAAATTGAAATGAATGACAACTAATTAATAATACATAAAGGGTAAATAATGAATAGCGTAGATAAATCTTTTAAAAATCCAGAACAGAGTGCAGTCAGCAGAGAAGAGTTTTGTGTTCTGAAATTATGGAAATCTGAACAGCTTTTCCATATTCAGCCCATGATCTTCAAACCCGTCCTGAAAACATGCCAGCAGTAAACATGCTTGAACAATATGAAAATCCGACTTTTTCAGCAGAGAAGCAGTTCTTCACTCAACCACAATCCAAAGAACCATATGGCCTGTGGGGCCAGTGCCAGCCCCCAGCAAACCCTCGGCCCTGTGCTGCCAGTGGACTCCTGCTGCTCCCTGCCCCACCAATGGCGAAACCTCACTGGAGCCACTCAGCCACCCTGGCAGCTACCACCACGGCTGCAGAAGCCCCCTGCTCGGCCACCAGCCAGCCAAGGCTCCCTTCCTCCTCAGAGCTCCCAGCCTCCTGACCAAGCCAACCCCCTTCCTTTTTTAAAGCCAGGTAGCGTGGCACCTGCAGGCTGCCCCATGCACTGTTTGAAAAGCCTCTTGTGAACTTGTGCTTTGAGCAGCAGTGCCCTCCTGGCATGAGGAGCAGCTGCCTCTGAGGGGTCTGAGCCAGGGATAAGCACGGGGTGATGCAAAAGCTTCCCCTTGCCGCTTTGTCATGCCCTCTCAGGCAGCGTGTGATTGGTTAAGATTGGTGCTCCTCATAAGGCAAGAAAATATTGTCTTTAAAATGGAGTAGTGAGGACCCTGCTCTGTCTCGATGAGCAAGGTGAGGGGATGGAGGGGCCCTTTGGAATTCCTGAGCTCTCAGCAGCAGATTCCTGGCCTGACAGCTGGGAAGAATTCAGAACTGGTCACATGAAAGAGACCACCAGCCGAATAAATGTTTCTGGTACAGTTACAGCATTTACAAAGCAATTCTGTGCTTGAGCACAGAAACCCTTCCTCTTGATTGGGTCCCAAACGTTCTTTTACTAGCAACCATTAAGTACACACAGATTTCCTTTATAAAAAGGCATTGCTCACTTGCAAAATATTTAAGCCAGGGGTCTCAAACTCAACTTCCCTGGGGGCCGCTGGAAGTAGAGTCTGGGTGAGGCTGGGCCACATCAAGTATTCCACCCCCGTGGTGGTGGTGGGCCACTCTTCCCGCGTGGCTCCCGGAGGCCGGCCCAGGCGCTGCCGGCGCTTTGAAGGCCGCAGGGCCCCTCCCCCGTGCCCTGCCTGTCCCGGCAATTGGCCCGCGGGCCGCGAGTTTGAGACCCCTATTTAAGCTGTCACAAATCTGTTGCAGCTTTCACGCTTCAAGTATAATTATATACATTTACATTCTAAACTTAAAGTTACTTAAAAGCAATTTTTAGCATCATTTGGTCGATGGAAGGCCATTTGTTTCTTTGGCCTGGACAATCACTTGTCTACACTTTCTCTGTGGTGAAATAATATCCCTGTGAGACTTTCTTCTAAAGCATACCCCACAATAGGTGAGCTCAAATATCACAACAGCCAATGATGACAATAAGTGACAGCAAGTTGGTTGTTCCACCAATAATTCTCAGTGCCCAGAAGATGATTCAGTTCACCATAGGTTGGTCATTTCCTCCATCCTCTCAGTTCTTCCGGTGGACCCTTCAGCACAACCAGCATTCTGTCCTTCATCCCTGTAACAGTGAGCTATTTTTGGACTTGCCCTGGCTTCTCCCTGCTTTCCTTCACTTTATTCTTTTTTTCTGGAGATCATGAAGTCCAGCTTTTGAAGTATCACTACCATCCCCTTCAGACTGGCTCAAGTAGCACAGTAGAGGTGCTACCAGTGCCTGGCAAATATTAATGTGTGTCTGTGTGTAAGCATTTAATTTATTTAAAATAGAGATATGATATATGATATGATATGATATGATATGATATGATATATGATATGATATGATATGATATGATATGATATGATATGATAGATGACGGATAACAATCTATAGTTGCACCCTGCACAGGAATACAGCTCCACAGAAACTGGGAGCCTTGGTTGGGCAATGTCATTGGGAGGTTACCTGCTATCAAAATGCAGCATGAACCAACCCAGGTCATCAATCTAAAGATATTCTGAATAGGGTTGTCTTTCTTTTTTTCTTGACACCTGTCAAAAGGAAATCTGCCAAATGAAAGCAAAGGCACAAATAATCTTTGCTTGCAAAAAGATTTACACCATTTTCATGGTGAGAGTCTCAGTCTCTCTCTCTCTCTCTCTCTCTCTCTCTCTCTCTCTCTCTCTCTCTCTCACACACACACACACACACACACACACACACACAGCCCCAGCATTTTTGGCACATTTTGCCATTTTCCCCAAGAATCTAACTGCTCAGGAAAGTGCAAAATTGTATCCCACCTTTTGAGGAAAATCAGTTTTGTCCAATATTGACAAAATAAAACAATTTCATACCTATTTGTTGATTTTCCCTTTTTAGTTAGCAAGGAAACCTCTGCAAAGTCACAATTTCCAAATCCAAGGCACAGAAGGGAGCAGCTCTAAGTCAGGATTGGGCAATTTATGATCTTCCAGATGTTTTGGCCTAGAATTCCCTTTAGCTGAAGCCAGCGTATCCAATACTGAGAAAACGTGGGAGGTGCAGGAAAAATGTCTGGAGGACCACAAGTTGCCTTTCTCTACAAGTGTTATAGGTCAATTAGCCTCTTCTGCAAGGCAAGAATTAAAGGACTTTTTGTGTATTATCCTATTATCTATTCAAAGTGTCATTAGGTTAACTGGGGCTTACTTTCAGGTAAGTGAGTATAGGATTGCAGCCTTACTTTGTCCTCTACAAATAAAAAGTTGTATTTCAGGAATTTTTTTTTATTTGTCTTTCAATCATTTATGTGTTTGTTTGTTTACAATGTTTGTATACTATTTCAGATTCCAGCATTGTGGGCAGTACATTGCTAAAAGAAAAGAATAAAAACAATACATTAAAAACAAGATAGCATTGAAACCACAACTAGCCAGAAAGACATGTCCAGCAGGCACTGTAAATAGCACAGGGTGACTTCCTGAGGCAGGGAATTCCACACTGAAGATTCTTCTCCTAGAGGACTTCAGCTGGGCCACAAGTGGTTCATGAAACCACCAGGACAGTGGCCTAGAATCATAGAACCATAGAATAGTACAGTTGGAAGGGGCCATGAAGGCCATTGAGTCCAGCCCCCCACTGCTGCAGGACACCATGAGGTCCTCCAAGGACCTCAGTGACCAGGCAGGGTGATCAGGGAGAAGGCACTCTCACTCAGGGACCCTGGACTCAAATTGTTCAAGATTTTGTACCCCAGGACTAGAACCATAAATTTGGATAGGTAGGGAATAGGCAGCTGGGGCTGTTCCTTCAGCTTCCTCAGCACTGGGGTGTGAAAAGGGGCAGCTCTTGACAACAGACGAGCTGCTAACTTCTGCACTAACTTCAGCTTCCAGAGTAGCCTTGTAGTTATTCAGTCTGGAGGTTGCCAGTCCCTGCATCACTGGGTCAAGCTACTCCTGTCCAGGAGAGGTAGAAGCTGGTAAACCAATTGGAAATGGTAAAAAGCAGCCCAAGCTGTCGCAGTCTGCCCTGGATCTCCAGTGGCAGCGCTGGATATAGGAATGCCCCAAGAACACATTCCTGAACTATCTGAAGGAATCAACCCAGCACAAAAAAGCCAATGAGCATGCCCACAGGGCTTCTGTCTTGCCAGGATTCAGCTGCAGTTTCTTGGCCCTCACCCAGCAGCCTTCTTTCTGTTAAAATCTTGTAAATAGAATAACTCCTGCAGGTCACATTTCATCAGAAACTATCAGTGATTATAAAGCTGAAATTCTTGGAACTAAATGGACCAGTGTTGTCAAATATGCACTCCTGAATTACAGGTTGTGTGATTTTAAATGTAGCAGAGGATTGTAAAAGCACCATGTCCATTTTTTAAAATGCAGCCTTGCACATTATTTGCTTGTTGAAAATTAAGATCTTCCAGGTTCTGCAGTAAACTTGTGCAGCTGAGAAAACATCCTGGCAGAAAATCCCTGAACGGCCAGCTGCTTCAGGCACAGTACAAGCATGCTGGCCACTTCCTCCCTGTGCAGATTTGAGGGGAAAGGAACACAAAGCTTTTGCTTTCCGTTCGTATTCACAGTGGATGGCTTGCCTTTCAGTGTGCTTGAAATAACAATAATGTACTCTTATCCATGGGAACTCCAGGCAGCTGAAGTTGGCTTCATTGTAATTATGATCTTTCCAAATTTTAACTGTGGGGCTCTCACAGTACTGATGGGTCTTGAATCTGTTTGATT